AAGGAATTTTCCCCCCAGGATTAGATAAGGGGGGAACAAGTCAAGATTCTCACGTCCTGGTGTGAACAGAAAACAATTGTCATCTCTGTCCTTTGATGAATTAAAGTGTTTTCTCTTGGGAAATGTTAAGGTGTGGGTAGTCCCCTTTTTATGCAGGGGTTGGCATGCTGCAGCCTCAGAACATCACTGAGCTGCATTTAGGCTGGTTGTATGTTCTCCTTTGCAAAGTGAAATTAAAGCCTTTTCTTCCTGTAATATCAACTCTCAGCGCTTATATATTTTTTTTAACTCGACAGTCTCCAGTGCAGTTTTTTTTAAAAGAGCCACGCACTTCTGCAAATCTAATGTTCTGTTATACCGTCAACCCAACACATTAAAGTAACTGGACTAATTACACTATCTGCTGCTAACTGTACTATCGTTAAAAGGCTTTATGAATAAAGTTGACCGTTCATTATCAAAAAACATAACATAAATTAGCTGTTGTCAATAGCTCTTCTACAACCATGCAGCCAGCAGCAGCTAAAGACTTTCTCAAATAAGCGTGAACCTGCAGCAGTGATGCTGTTCTAAAGGCCATCCCCTGTGTTTTAGCATGTCCAGCTCTACATGGTGAAGAAAAACAGCAGGTGAAAATGTGTACCAGAAAAAAGAGAGGTGGAAGTAAATTGGCAAAAGGAAATCTGTTTGTGGTGTATATATATATTATATGAGAAGATATATCTCTATATGATGAAAACTAATAAAGCTAGTCAATATACCCTGAACTAAGAACATATTTAGAGGGAAAAAAACATGTTTTCAATATATTTGATTTCTTGGTAAAACTAAAAAAAACAAACTGAAACATTTAACAGTTGTTGGAAAAAATCAAACCTTGCAGCTGCCCCTGTAATGCAAACATTTCACTGGTATATTTTGCTGAAGCGAGAACTGAGCCAAAAGACAAAGCTCTCGATTTACTGGTCAGTTAGGCTTCCTATATGTATATAATTTTGTTTTTGCACACTTAGGAAAAAACACGTAATTTCTCTGTTCTAAGTCTTGCCGTTATTGCTCTCTAGAACTCTTTTCTAAATGTTTGTACAGTATATGCATATCAAAGAAGCCCTTAAGTATTTGTATCTATAATGTGAAAAATCAAGAAAAAATGGCTCTAAATAAATCATTATAACTGACTTTAAATGGGGATTAATGTGTTAAGCTCTCAAATGCGTTAAGTTCTCCTTTTGTTTATTATGATAGATTAGGACACTAAGTGAGTCTGATTCTCCGGCACAGCGCTAGCGGGAGGAGGTACAAGACTCAGGGTGAGGAGGAATGTGCCACTGAACCTGGAGAAGTGTGACAGGAATGAAATAACAAACCAAAATTAGGCTTTAACAGGATGGAAACTTGATTAAAATAGAATCTTGATTAGAATGGCTCCAACAGAGCTGTGACTTAAAGGAAACCTATCCTTCAAATACTGAGGCAATCTTCCGTATTGGAAACCAATGAACTGAAATCAGTGTTCCTTGAAACTGATGCACCCATTAAACACAAATTGAAACAAATACATCTTGCTAATGTTAGTCTTATAAAATGTAAGGCTTTTAGATAGATCAAAATTCCATGACCATTTCTAAAGTTAAAATGGAACAAATAAAATGTAGAAAGTTGAAATTTCTCTTACTTTGGAATATAAGCTGCCCTCTGGCTACATTCCGCCCTCTGCTGTTCTCAGCAACACATTCATACATGCCGGCATCCTCTGGGCGAAAATAGGGAATTTCCAGATCCCCAGTGGAGTGGTTGATTTTAATCTTCCCAGGGAGTGGATTTCCATCAGCTCTCCTCCAGGAGATTGTGGGCACAGGGCTGCAGAGATAGAACCCACAAAAGGTCACACTGACCAAAGGAGCAGATGTGCCTGTCTGCTTTCTATAGCAAGCAAGCTACTTCAACCCTCAGCGGACTATGGTGGGTTCAATGCTTACTTTCCTAAGGCGAAGCATTCCAGCTTGACTGATGATCCTTTTAAAACATAAAGGGTGTCTGGAAACTGGACTTCAATCTTCGGCTCATATTCACCCATCAGCACTACATCAGGGACAATAAAAAATATGACACAACTCAAAACTTATATTATCATTGTAAAACCTTGATATCATAATAAACGTACACTCAACACAAATATAAATGCAACACTTTTGGTTTTGCTCCCAATTTTTATGAGATTAACTCAAATCACATACATAATATAACTATTTCCCTTAAATATTGTTCACAAAGCAGTCTAAATCTGTGATAGTGAGCACTTCTTTACTGAGATAATCCATCCCACCTCACAGGTGTGCCATATCAAGATGCTAATTAGACACCTGCATTAATGCCCAGGTGTGCCTTCAACTGCCCACAATAACTCACCTAGGAATAGAAAACCATTCATGGCAAGGCGAGATAAGGCATGTTTACTTATATAGGACAGTACAAAGACAATTCAAAGTGCTTTACATAAATGAAACAATAAAATAGAAGGGAAATATTAGCAGAATAAAAGCAAGTAGAGATAAAAACATGAGTAAAAACACCAGAATGGAGCCTTGAAGAACTCTACAAGTGTTTTTAAATTCCCTCCTGACATGTAAAATCCCATTCTCCAAGGTAGGAATTAAACCAGTCCAGAGTGGTACAAAAAAAAACTGATATAGTTTTCAATATGCGCTAATAAAATATCAAACGCTGCAGTGAGGTACAATAACACACTCTGAATTGATACAGATGACAATAAATCTTAATCAGGGTGGTGTCAATACTGTGGTTGGCAGGGAAACCTGACTGGCAGACATCAAATCAGCTTATGTTTAACTGTTTGAACACAACTTTTTCAATAGTTTCACTGATGAAGGGGAGGTTTGAGATGGGCATGTAGTTCTGCATGCTTCTCTTTTTCAAAAATGGTTTGACAATTATTGTTTTTCAGGTCTGGGGGTAAGCACCCAACCTAAGGGATGTGTTTATAATTGGAATCAAATCAGATTCTGAAACAGATAAAACCTTCAGAAACCCTTAGGGTAAAGCATCAAGACAGCAGGAAGAGGTGTAACTTTTGCAGTTTATTTGGTAGAATTAGGGCATCTTAACATAGGTCATTCTAAATAGTGGCAGTAGTGGTAATGGAGTTGATGTTAATGTATAGACTGCTTTTCGAATACCTTGTATTCACTCAGTAACTTTGCAAAGTCATTGCAGGCTGGTTAGACTGGAGTTCATTGGCAACAGATGTAGGAGTGTTTGTTAATCTGTCAACTGTGGTAAATAAAGCGCCAGGATTGCTAAGGTTTTTGTTGATAATCTCAGAGAAAAAAGATTCTTTTGTAAATTTGACTTGTAAATTATATCAGTAAAGTTTCTTTTTATAGATTTCATGTTGAACTTAGAGTTCATTCGCCACCTTTGTCCGGCTCTTTGGCACTCCCTCTTTTCTTTTTTCACTGCTGGAGCATTTCTCCATGGAGATTTCATCTTCCTAGAGATAATTTTCACTTTAGCTAGAGTGCTGGAATCATTGATGTCAGCAACTTTAGAATGAGAATGATCAACGACCTCAACTACTGAGTTACAGTGTAAGGTGCAGAAGGATAAACATAGGCAGTTTTCAGTTGTCCTGTCCATGAAAACACGCTTTCTTTTAACATCTCTTTTGGTAATCAGATCAGTGTGAAAATGTTTTTAAAGTAAACAGTGATATATACCTTTACTGACCACTGTAAGCTGGCTGTTTAACATGTTGAGTCAAACCAAAATTTTTAAGTATATCAAACAGTTCTTTTACATCTCTATTTTCAGGGTTGTCATTATGTACATTAAGGCTCCTTATAATAATTTAATAGCACAGTTCTACAAATATTACAGAAAAAAAGTTCAAGGAAATCATTAAAAAGTTTATTTTGGACTTTGGAGGCCTATAAATATTCATAAACGTGGCTTGAACAAGGCCCTGTACTTTGACAGCCAGATATTCAAAAGATTCATAAAAACCCAGGATCAATTTTCTATCTTTTTAAGTCGCGACTCCCAATTTTTACATGCACTGCTGTGCTTAACCTCCCTATGAACGGTCAATATACATTTACATACGATCACTTATCAACTCACTTCTTCTATAAGTCTCTTTATCATCTTATTTGACCACACTGGGAGGTTTTGAAACACATTTAAGCAACATAAAGAGGCTAACTTTCAAAACAGACTAACAGTGGTCACTACATCCCAAAAGTTTGAAGTTAAAATGTAAACAAATGATGCAAACATTTACTTCTTTATAGTAAAACTATAACAATGTGTGCTAAACACACTGGAAAATAACCCATCTTGAATTGTAGTTATCTATGTTTCTGAGAGCTTAAAAATAAAAAATAAAAACTTCTTGGTCAAAAGCAGAGGTGATTTCTGTAACTATTTGTTGTGATGGCTGGGGCAGTTTGTACAGAGCAGTTGTATTCTTGACTTTATTTTAGAAATGACCAAATAGAGATCCCTCTCAACTCTGAAGAGTTGTGAAACCTTTAGAGAACTAGCAATCTGTAATGTGCAATCACATTACAGGCTGTCCTACAGCTCTGACGAGAGGTGATGCGCGGTGAAGGAGGTGAAAGACTAGTGTATCCAGTTGTACTTTTTCAGTGTGTTATTATTCAGAGGGCTGAGGTGAAAGGCAATAATTTGTTTCATAGTTTGAATTGTTATTTTGTAACTTGTAACTATCTGTAACACTTTGCCCAGCCTCTCGCAGAGCCCACTACTCCAGATTTCTCTTAAATGCCGTGACCTTATCAGAGAAAACAGGGACATTTGTGTTTGGTCCTCATTAAAAGCCTTGGGAGGAATTTAAATGTCTAGTTTGTCTGGCTACTGCAAGGCTCGCGACCCACTTTGGGTCTGTCAGATTTAGCAAGGGGAGAACTACAGTCTGATTAAAAATATCCCCTAACCCCCTAACACAGTTCAAGTAGCCTTGTTAAAATTAATAATCTTAAATGATTTTTGAAGACAATCCTGAAGCTCTGACTCCCTCAAGCAAGTGCCTTCCTGTCGATCATGCAGGGAAGAAATTTCACATTTGGGGGCTAACTGCAAATCCTAGGCCCTCAAACTTTTTCTTGCCCCGCTGCATAGATCCAGCTCCATCTGTGCACATAGATACAAAGGTCTCTCATGTAATTCTTTTCTTTGCTGCCCCCCACACTCCATCACAGTGCCTCGCTGACTAGACTCTCTAAGGCACAGATCAGAATCTCATACAAACATATTGATACAATGAATTTTGCACAGAAAATGAAGCAGTCTCTGTTTGAAATTATGTAATTTAATATAGATGAAACAACCATTATTTTTTTTCATTTTTAAGTGGCCAAATATTTAAGTTTAAGTTCTGTAATTTCAGACTCTCTGCGAACCCTTTCTGCACCTGCTGCTCCTGCTGACAGCAGATGGGAGAGGGAGTGATGGGAGAAGCCTGGCTTAGGCTGACAGTAACTAGTTCTGAGTAATACAAAGCCTGTTTGAGACCAAACGCTTACCGTCCTTTCAATGTCCGGTTAGAAGCTACATTAATTTTGCACATTTATATTATTCTAAAATGATTTGCGGACCCCCAGAAATCATCTCACACCCCAGTTAGAGGTTGAAATCATTGGCTGCTTTAGTGAATCATTACAGTCTGTTCTGATAAAAAAAAAATGTAATTGGGAATTGGTGTCGCCAATAACATCTGTATATCATTATTTTCATCTAGCCATGTCTCTGTTAGAAACATAAAATCAAGATTGCTGAGTAAATAAGTAATTGATTAAAACAAAAATTCCTGACAGAGATCTTATGTTAATTAAATACATTTTAAATACCTTGGTTGGTAATACAGTATATCTCTAGCTGGTTGAACTCCAAGTTGCCATACCTTTTTCTGTTGTCTGGAAAAAGGCTATTCTCCTCAGGGTCATCCTGTAAAGCTAACCCAATTCATTGTAACTCTAGTGGTCCTTTAGTAAGGTGGTCCTCCCACACTATCATTTTTTTTAGCTTCTAACAGGTGTCAACTATCCTGTATTCAGCTCCATCCGTCATTTAGTCAACTCTGACGCATCCCCACAGCAGGATGCTTCCTTCACTGTGTTTCACCTTTTGATTATTGTGTTAAAGGGGACTTTTAGCCAAAATCAAGAATTTTGCTTTCACTTTGTTTGGCATTGTTGCTATATCTCCTACATGACTTCTGTGGATCTTTAACTACCTTCTATTATAAGGTAGTTTTCAATAGTCATAGTCATAACCCAATACCAAAATTGGAAAAATGTAGTTGTTACAAAATACAAGCAAGGGGCACCTGTCAGTGTAGCATGATTGGTTAGGTCACACACAGTACATGGTAGGAAATGGATGAGTTTGTATTACATATCTACAGTACTAAAGTGCAAGTAGTAAGTGAAATCCAGAGCTGGGTTGTAGATGCAGTATTTGTACTGGTGTCAATTCTGAATGTTCAAAAACCATGGTAAAGTCTAAAAAGTAAAACAGTTTAATGCTCCAGTCCAATGATTTATCTCCTCTGCTCACCCACCTAATGAAGGTCACAGTGCACAGAATAAATAAAAGGTGGACAGAAGATGCTTACCGTCTCCCCGCACCACCACAGGGGTTGGGGAGCCGAACACCGTGGCATTGGTCATCATGTTTCTTACTGCACACGTATAATTCCCCGCATCTGAGGCTTCAACTTTGGCTATATACAAATTGCCGGTCCTCTGAGAGATGAAGCGACGGGTGTCCTGCTGCAGGAAGCTTTGCTGGCTGTTGAAAACCCAGGAATATTTTATTTCTGTAGAAGATGAGAGAAAAGAAACAACAAACACTGGCTTTGAATTGCAATGCAGTCATTTGCAGTGACATTCCCCAAAAAAGAGATGAAAAAAAAAGAAACAAGAAAAGGTTCCTGATATATTTTTCATTACCAAACAGATAAAGGATTGCATGAAAGGTTATGTCTCCCAGTATTGTATATTTTTCTTTTCTTTCTTGTAAAAAAAAAAAAATGAATCTTATGAAATATCTGCGATTGTTAGCAGCCACAGTGGGACATTTTAAGGCTAAGACAGTCTTAAGCCTGTTTAGATAAATTTTAGAAGATGGTTCTTAATAACAGCAGGAAGGTGATTACATACATTATGCTGTACTTGATATTGAAGGTTATGAAAGGATATCCATAGTAAGTTAAAATACAAAAAAGACAAAAATCAATAAAACAATATCCGATCTGCAATAATAATAGACAGAATTCATAACATAGGAGAACGTGGCTAAATATTTTTAAAAGTGTTAGGTTTATTCAATGATGATTATAAAATTAATGTGTGCTTATAAAACATTTGTGCGAGGGGATGCTCCACTCCTGTCTCATGATTCAGTCAGGAGACCATCCTGCCTTGTCATTCTAGTGCAGCATTCTGTCTTTATGAACTGATCAATTGTTCTGTCAGAACAATACTCTGTTTGTAACCATGCGTCATGTTCTGTTAATAAAACGCTCTGCGGAGGAGGTCCAGTGGGAGACAGTGTGTTACAGTCTGGGGTTCAACTGTCTCTCCTTCTGCAGAAATTGTATCTATTACTGTGTATTTCAGTTCTTCTTTTGCACACCTACATTTATGAACCCGACAAAAAGATGGGAATTACACAAGTGCGTTAATATTCTTGGTATTGCAAGAAACTTTTAAAGGAGTTCAAATAAGGCCATTTAGGTGAGCATTCTGGTATCCTACAAGACTATTGTTTGCAGTCAAGCTTTGATGGAGCAGGAGATATACTTGGGATTATCGTCCTGATGAAAGCTTCAATGATACAACCAGGTTAAATTTCTCACAGATGGAATGACAAATTAACTGCAATGATTTCCTGCTACTGGAATTAATATTTTCCTTCATACTTTGGGATTCTAGAGCCAGAAAAAGCAAATTGGCACCAGACCACCTAGTCACTACCATGCTTCCGTGTAGTCATTGTGTTCTATGGCTTTTGTTTCATTCTTCTTTCATCAAACATATACAGAAATGATCTACCGGCATCAAAATATCCAGCTTTGACACATTATCATCATCTAAGTTAACTAGTGACTTGAGATCAAACTTGAAGCCATTTTTCCTAAATCATAACTGCTACAGTCTGCACAGATTAGAAACTAACAAACTACAAAACAAGGCTTAATTCAAAAAGGCTATATTTCTTTTATATATACCATTAATGAGAGAATTTAAGTGAATTTGATTTGGATAATCCTGACTGCATTTCTTACTTGTTTGCACTAATATTAATAGCTTGGAACATTAACTTTTTATGTAAGGTTGTTAATCAGTTTTTGAATTATTTTTAATTTGGCTTTAAACTAAAATAGATATTTCTGTCAGTTTCTTTTTGGTGGACTTAACAGCTTAAATTTCTGATAAACCACTCGTTTCAGATGTGATCAACCATTAAATGGCAGTTATTATCAGTCCCATAGAATGGCTTAGGCTGGGCCTTCTCTACCTACTAGTAGGGTTTCTTATATGCAGCTTATAGGTGATAACAGCCGCTCTAAATTGACCTACTTTTAGTTTTCATCTACTTTATTTAGAAAGCACCTACTTGTTGTAAATAACTGATTTTAAAACCTCTACTTTGAATAAAGTCCACATGTTAAAGTCCATAAAGATTTCATGTGGTCTTTACAAACAACTTATTTAACAGGAGTTTGTTTTTAGTTTGTTTAATATGAGCGAGATGCAGATCATTTTTTTTTTTTTTACAATACATGAAGAACTACAAAAATTATGTTCAGATAACACATAATTACATTGATCAATTCCGTGGGCAAAAAAGGAATTCTCTCAGGCTTAGGGTTAGGATTCATTCAGTGCCAAAAACCAACTAAACCAATTAGGTAGGAGGCAAAATCTACAGCCATTGTATGGGACAGAAAACCGCTAATAATGGCCATTCAATAAGATGATAACATCCACAGTGCTTAAACTAATATATTTTTTCTGAAAGCTTTATTTTCAGAATGTGAGTAATATTTCATTGAAGCCCTTTATAATTTTCTTTAGGCTCTCATTGTTTGTTGTCTTAATGTTAATAGAATTATAGAAGTTACTTGCTAGTTGTTATGTTGCCTACTTCTGTTTTGCTTTTCTTTTTTTTTTTTTGGAGTTTTTAGCAACTTCCTACCCTCAGTACATTCAGGGGAAATAGGCTAGAGTCATAGATAACTCAGTGGAGAATTGCTGAGGTGTCAGCCTTTATATATCTTTAACATTTTGTGTACTTCCTAATGTTCTCTAAAAATTTTTAGAGGCGTTCACATACCAGCTGAATTTATACTTTGATTATCTAATCCCAAATCATACTCTGATTTTATGCCAAATATTGTAAACGTTGTTTGTACTGTTTTGATAAAGACATTCATATTTTACCTTAAAAATGAAAAAGGTCATGTGACAAAATAAAGAAAGAAAATAAAGGGTCATATTTCCTATTTTAGGTGTGC